GGGTGTGAGGGGGTGTGAGGGGGTTCGAAAAAAAGTGAGGGGGTGTGAGGGGGTGTGAGGGGGTCCCCGGAAAAGTGAGGAGGTGGTGTGTGGTGTGTGGTGAGGTGGTGGCACCTCGGCCGCACTGAAGAGGTTTGCCCACTCGCTCAGCTGCGGCGGCAGCTCGACCTCGTACACGGCCGGCACGACCGTCACCACCTGGAAGAGCGTGACGAGCTGCTTCGCCTTGCACTGCATCCCTGTCTGCCTCCACAGCAGCGCTATGCGCCGCCCGAGAAGGACGAGCGCACGCGCCACCTTGCCCGAAGGGACCCACGAGCTGCGGATCACCTTGAGGGTGCCGAGGCCGAGAGCGCCCGCCGTGAAGAGCAGACCGACGAGCAGCATCACCGACTCCGCCGGCCGGTCGCACGCCTGGCAGCGCGCCTTCGAGTTGAGGAAGTAGCGGATGCCGTTGTCGGTCGTGTTGGTGCAGACCTCGCACTTTGGGCCCTCGTAGAAGGGGTGGCAGAGCGCGTTGCCATCCTCCGACGAGTCGACGCCGCCGCGGCACGGGCTCCACTCGTCGCCCATCACCTGCGGCAGCGAGGGAGGAGAGTTGAGGGTGGCAGCGAGGGTGGCAGCGAGGGAGGAGAGTCGAGGGCGGCAGCGAGGGCGGCAGCGAGGGAGGAGAGTCGAGGGCGGCAGCGAGGGCGGCAGCGAGGGAGGAGAGTCGAGGGCGGCAGCGAGGGCGGCAGCGAGGGCGGAGGGGTAGAAGGGGTGGAGGCGGCGATGGAAGGAACCTTGCACGCAAACAGCGTTGACGACGCGTTCGAGGCGCGCCACCAGCCGCTCGACACGTTGAGCGAGCCTACAGGGAAGGTTCCGAGAGGCTTCAGGGAAGGCTCCAGGCAACCTCTGCCCGGCACGTAGAGTGCGCCGATGCGTGTGTCGACTCCGCAGGTGAAGGACACGACGCCTCCCTGCGGAGAGGAAGGCGGGGCCGGGCACGACTTGCACGCCTTGGTGGAGGCCTGGGTCTCCCCTAGGACGAGGAAGAAGTCCTCGTCGCACACGTCGCACGCCGTGGACCCTTGGCCGTACGTCGTCGTGCCGTCGTTGCAAGGGTCGGGGACGGTGCTGCCCGCCGGGCAGGTGGAGCCGACCGGGCACTGCGTGCACTCGTCCTCCTTCGTCAGGTTCGTCGCGGCCGAGTACGAGCCCTCGGGGCACGGCCGAGGCACGCTCGTCCCCGCCGGGCAGAAGTTGCCCTCGGTGCACGGGCGGGGCTCCGTCGTGGCGGCCTCGGGGCACCGCTGGCCCACGGGGCAGAGGCCGGCGCAGAAGGCCGACCTCTGGTCGTCGGGATGGCTCGAGCCTAGAATGCCGGGGGCGCAGGCGTACGGCAGGTCGACATCGAGGGCAGAGGTCGGCACCGTGTACAGAGATACGCCAAGCAGCGCGGGCGTCGCCTCCCAATTGCAGGGCTGAACAAAGGCGACGGGGAACTGTTTGCACTCGTCGTTCTGCGCGTCCGTCTCGGTCTTGCACTTGTCGAATAGACCCCGGCAGACGTCGTCCGCACAGTCGGCAGGAAGCTGCCGGTAGATCTCGCATCTCGAGTGCGGGATCCAGTGCCCGGGAGGCAAAGGCAGGCGGTAGGACACCTCGGGCGCGCCGCTGAATGCGATCGAGCTCCCTTGGCTTGCCGTTCCGCTCTCCAGAAGGGTCCCGTTCTCCAGCGTCAAGCGCCCGCTCGAAATGTAAACGAGGCCGCCTTCCTCGGTCGCAGTGCTGTCTGCGAGACGGACCCGGTTCAGTGTGGTCTCGCTGTCCGTCCCACCGTCAATGTGCAGAGCCCCACCCTTGACTGCGCTGCAGCCGGTAATGTTGACCTCGCTCAGCTCCACCTGGGGAACCTTGACAATCCTGATGGCCCCGCCCAAGCCCTGGGCGTTCTCGCCTTCTATACCAGTCTCAGTGCTGCAGCGCGTTATCTCCACCGACTCCAGTCGCAAGCTGCCTCTGGCGGCGTAAATGGCTCCGCCAGAGTTCCCAGCGTAGCAGTCCTGTATGCGAACGTCACGCAAGCTCGCGTCGGAGTCATCCATGCGGACCGCACCGCCATCAGCTTCCGCCCGGCAATTCGCCAAGACGAGCCCTTCCAACGAGAGCGTTGCCTTGTTTTTCAGGATAAAGAGGCTGTCCAGCGCATCGGTGCCGTCGATGGTGGCGCCAGTGATGCTGCCTGAACTACGGATGGTGACGTCTACTCCGTCAAGGACGAGAGACTGGCTGAGCCTGACGTTCGCGCCGGGCTGCAGGTAGATGTCTGTCGTGTTTTCCCGGACGGCCAGCTGTAAGGCGGCGTTGCCACTCACAAAGACCTCGCCCGGAGAGAGCGGAAGGAGGGGCGGCAACGGCGGCGGCTTTGGTGGGTATGGAACTGGCGGTGGCGCTGGTGACGGCGGTGGCGACGGTGGCAACGGTGGGGGCGCCGGTGGGGACGGGACGGCGGGCGGAAGCGGGTTGTTGAGACGAGTGTAAGCGTTCTCAGGCCCGCCACAGTCGTTGCAGTCGGTGCCGAGATCGCAAGCCGAGTTGGTCGAGCCTTGCCCGCCATCGTCGCATGAACCATCGTTGCTGAAGGCGCACGAGTCTGAACAGCCCGGCGGAGGCGACGGTGGCGGCGGCGGCAGCGGCGGTGGCGCTCTCGGTGGCGGGCTCGGAGGAGGAGGCGACGGTGGCGGTGAAGGTGGTGGCGGCGACGGCGGCGGCGGGGACGGAGGCGGTGGCGAGGGCGGCGGCGGCGATGGTGGTGGCGGACTTGGCGGCGGTGGCGACGGCGGCGGTGGCAAAGGCGGCGACGGACTTGGTGGCGGCGAGCGAGGGCGGCGGTGGCGACGGCGGCGGCGGCGAGGGCGGCGGTGGCGACGGCGGCAGTGGCGAGGGCGGCGGCGGGCTTGGTGGCGGCGGTGATGGCGGCGGCGGTGACGGTGGCGGTGGCGACGGCGGCGGCGGGGACGGCGGCGGCGGCGAGGGCGGCGGCGGTGAGGGTGGCGGTGACGGTGGCGGAGGGCTGGGAGGCGGCGGCGAGGGCGGTGGCGACGGCGGCGGCGGCGAGGGTGGGGGCGGCGAGGGCGGCGGTGAGGGCGGTGGTGGAGAGGGCGGCGGCGGCGAGGGCGGCGGCGAGGGTGGTGGCGGAGAGGGCGGTGGCGGGGAGGGCGGAGGCGGCGATGGCGGAGGCGGCGATGGCGGAGGCGGCAAGGGCGGTGGCGAAGGAGGCGGCGGGGATGGTGGCGGTGGTGAGGGCGGAGGTGACGGTGGAGGCGGAGATGGAGGTGGCGGCGACGGAGGCGGCGGAGAGGGCGGCGGTGGGACGGGCGGCGGTGAGGGAGGAGGAGGCGACGGGGGTGGCGGGCTCGGAGGTGGCGACGGAGGCGGCGGAGAGGGCGGTGGTGGGCTGGGAGGCGGCGAGGGCGGCGGTGGGCTCGGAGGCGGCGGGGAGGGAGGGGGTGGCGATGGTGGTGGTGGACTTGGAGGCGGCGAGGGTGGCGCCGGCGACGGCGGCGGCGGACTGGGAGGAGGCGGCGAGGGTGGCGGCG